CTTACATGTAATTAATCTAACCATGTACCCAGGAACCGTCTCAAGACTGACTGCAATGTTTAAACAGATAAAGCCTTCTTCTTGCAGAGCCATGTGTATTTTTCACTACAGTTCACTGCTTTCCATACGTTCATCTTGTTAAAAGTCACAGAGACCGTTGGTAGGAGGTTGTTGTATCCAAGAGCTGAGGGAAGAGGCTGATGTTTAGATCAAGGCTGAGGGATTTTATGATTCACAGTGTTTAGGATTGTGTCTGTCACCTTTGAGTCAGATTACTTCCATCGACCCACTTCCATGTCCCTTCTTCAGCTCTCAGGCCAAACCAGTATCCACTGATTCCAGGTGGAAACCATTTGATGTTACGGATGAGGTCCTGAGAACAGCACAGACACACTTGTCAGTGACATGTCAACACTATAAACACACTGTGATCTACAGACTTAGTGTGTTCAGACTGACAGAAAATGCTTTTTCATTTCATATAGGCTGTTATATAAATCACATTTTCTTCATTACCTTCTCAGTGTCATTATCTATAACAGCCAAATCTGAAATCTTTCTTCTGCAGTCTTCTCGAGCTTCTTCCCAGGTTTGCTGATTAGGGGGCTCAGCGTTATTAAATGCGTAACAGCTGGACTGGAAGGGTAGCCAGCCTTTCTGACAAACGTTACACACTCTTCCTGAAACAACAGAAACCAACATTTAATCAATGTGACTGTATTGTGATATTTTTATTAGTGGTTATTTTGGACCTGTTTAATGGGATCTGAACATACCATTACTTTCTCTGGGGCAGTAGGCATCAATGCTCCACTGAGGAAGAGTGATGTTGAGCTCATTCAAGTTTCTCTCCATGTTTTGTATTTGTTGTGTTAAGTTGTTCCTCAGTGTCTTCAGGTCCTGGTTTTCTGCAGTCAGCTTGTTGTTGTTGTCAGAAATGACAGAGGTAACTACAGCGACAGACACAGAAACATGTCGGGGTTTGATAGTTTCAATTAAGTAACATGTTTCACATCATAAAACAACAATCAGGTTCACACTCAGTTTATAAAACATTCAAACTCCAGGTTTCAGGTGGAATATTTGAGTTCTATTCATTAATGTCAATGTCAGTTTATTTATAAAGCACATTTAAAACAGGAGTTTGCCAAAGTGCTGTACATGGTCAAATAGGTTCAAAACATGAAACAAGTATAAAAGCAAAAAAAGGAAAGGGGCCCCATCATGATGTGTCATTGGATTAACAACTTTCTCACTATACTCTGACCAGATCCAGAGGAGGCCAGACGGATTGCTACAGACCCCACCCACCCAGGCAACAGTCTGTTTGTGCCTCTTCCCTCCAGGAAAAGGTACAGGAATATAAAGACAGTCAAACAGACTGAGACACAGCTTCTTCCCCAGAGCTGTGAAATCAATCACCCCCCTAACCCCTAGTCTCACACACAACCTCCCCCCTATGGACAGACACAGACAGAACACTGGACCTCTGCAGACACACACCCATGCT